CAAATCCGTTTACCGTCGCTCGCTTTGCATAATTAAAGGCGAAGGTCTTCCGAGATGTTTCAAGTACTGGACTTCGCTCGCTGATTATTTCAAACGGATCGCTTCGCAGACCGTCAGAACGCTCTCGAACGCTTACGACGGATTACGCTCGCAGATTTTTCGACACTTCGGCGTCCCAGATTTTCACACCGCTCGGAGTGTCATTCGCAGCCGGCAATTCTCGAAAGGTTTTCAAATTTTTAACGGCGCAATGATTTCGAACTAGTTTAAAAGTGATTCTTGATGGTTTTGGCAATCTTGACAGAAAGTCCTGTTCGACCCGAGCAGGAAGGATTATATATATATATATATATATAATTATGTGGAATTATATATAATTGTATATAAATTAAATATACAAATTCAAATTATATATAATTATATACAAGTTCTATATATATATATATATGTATATATATATGACTCATTTGTAAATTTTGTCTCTGTGTGGCCACATATATTAATGTAATCGCATGTTCACGCGGAAAAGAATGCTGTTGAAAATATGGAAAAGGAAAAAGAAGTATTTTCAGTTGATTAAACGTCGACGTCGTCTCACGAGCTGCCGCGAGCATAAGCAGCTACTTTAATTATTATATTCGTACAACTAGACGCCATGTAGAGGGCAAAATTCATGCATAATAATCACTCAATTATTCGCGTTCCCGGGGAGGCGCGGGCGGCGAGAGGTTTCCTCGAAAGCGAAATACACAAATTGTGTCGGTATTTAACGAAGTGTAAATATTCCAAAAGAAATCGTTCTCAATGTGATGTGCGACGCCTACACGTACCATCTTCGAATTATTCAGGGAACATCGGCATATCAGGATCTTCGTAGCTTTCGAGACTTTTTCAAAGACTTTCAACGTCATCCAGACTTCCCTTTCACAGTCACGGTCGGCAGGACCGTCACAAGCCCTGAAAGATTTTTCAGATTTTCCGCAAGATCTCCGATCTCGATGGATGCGACGACGACGACAAGTCGACACTTATGGTCGTGCGTTTCAACGTAATTTCAAGCGCTTGTCTGCCGTCACCGATCACGCTGCAATTCTCGGTTCGGGTGCCTCCTAATCGGAGGGACGCGATTATATAAAGAAAACCGTGTGAAGTCGTGGCAGTCTACTACGAGGAGCGAATATGTAGCCTGTATATGTATATATATATATCTTGACTTGCGAGAGACGTTGGTTGAGGCGAGACACTCGCGACGCCAATTCGTGAAAACTGCCCACAATCATCATCAGTAAGAGGTCGCGTGCTCGCGGTAACCGAGAGGTGTAACCGAGAGATATTAGAGTGCTCGTTGAATTATCGTACACTACATTCGATGCTAATCGCACGAACCGCGCGACGTTACGTTTAAGATGCTCTAGAGTCTTTATTTATTGTACAGAATGCTGGATATTATATGAATATACGTAATACGATGTATAATCGTATGCTTATTACGTGTATAAATATGAAATAATAAAAAATCACTTCGACGTTTCGCCCGACTCTCTGCTCATTAGGCCCTGTCATTTCCCCCCTATTTCTCTCCCTCCTCCTGGCCCATCACAACTCTCTCTCTCTCTCTCTCTCTCTCTCTCTCCGGCTCTCCGGAGTTGTCGGTTGGCGTCGTGTTGCACCGGCAACACGACGGTAAACGTTAAAATGTGCCGCGCGTGAAAGCAACCGCTGCGCTGCAACTTGGACGCAGCGGCGCGCACAATATAACGCATTCTTTAATGCGCGCGTAACCTCATGTAACTCCAGACGTTCTACAAAATGCAGCGGAAAGTTTCGGAACTTATACGCTTCGTACGGGATACGAATACGAGGGAACTGGCGAGCACAAGGCGGCGTCCGACGCGACGCGGGAGCGAGCGAGAGAGAACAGCGGCGGAAAAAGCTCTCGCCGAAGTACGCGTATATATTCATATTTCGACGAGCAGCAGCGCGAGGCGAAAGCAGTTCGCTTGTCGGGCGGAGATATGGATAACCGAATTGAAATTTTGGTTCTATATCAACTCCGCGAGTTCCATCGAATTTTGGAGACTCAACGGGTAGTCGCGAGATATGACACTGGATAGAAAACAATACACAAACGATATCGCAAACTACTGCCCTTTGACGGTGAGAATATTATAGTTCTTTTTTTCGAGTATAATTCTTTTTTCGATTTTATCATGTTTCTCAACATTGCAGGAAAAGATCGTTAGCAGAGTCGATTTTGCTAAGGGGTGAATTTTTTAATAAATTCTTGATAAATCTTTTGATAAATTTTCATTAACGCTAGACTTCCAAAAATATAAAAATCTATATTTTAACGGAAGTAAAGGCAAAATATCGATATATTCTTCGGTTCTAAGGACAACTTTTGAATGTCGGTTTAATTCGACTCGAGTATCTTTACAAGCTCATTCTCGACAAGTTCGTTAAACGTCCATTAAAATTGGAGGCCTCTTCTATATTAAATGATGATTTGACATAGACTGCAAGTACATAATATATCGCTGACCAAGTTCCGCGCTCTCCGTCCTAACTTCCCGTCCTAACTTCCAGTGTCCTGTTCCCGGCTGCGCCGGATATTCCATCTCATGGTACTGACATACTCGCGTAGACACAGCCCGATCGGAGGAACCCGTGTTGATTAACGCGAGGCAGACGTCCGATTAAATATTTGAGAGACCAACGCGACATTTTAATATAAACCGACGGAAATAATAACCGAGCCACCGACACGTGTGCTCGGCACACGTGTCGCGGTACGTCCGTCGCTCACTCGCTTGAAGGGTAATAACTCGGTTACAGACAGGTACGCGCCGCACGAAAATACAAAAGCAGTCGGCGAAGTCACGCGCGCTAACAAGTTAACTAGCCGTCGCTTGTCAGTGAATGACGTAAACATCCAGCGAAAGAAGCCGCAACAAGCGCTCTTAAAATATGCTCGAGCTACTTGGAGCACGGTGGAAAATGAAAGACCTATTTAACGTTCAAAAGCTAGCAAAAGCTAGTCCAAAATAAGCGTCTTGTAATGTTTTATAATAATTATTATAATTTTTATACGATATGATTTATACTTGGATGTTGAATAAAACTGAATCAAATACAGCTGAATTAGATAAAATTAGAGATTATGATAAAACTAAATAAAACGTTAGATAAAAATAGAGAAGAAGTAAATAAATATTTTTACTCTTGCATAGGTAGATAATTACCTACTTCGTAAATATAAAATCATCAAATTTGAATTGTTTCCACTTTTATGTTTCTGATTAGTTTCTTTTTTCGGTTAGTTTAAGTTATTATTTTTCTGCAAATTACAAAGTTTCTAGTATGTTTGAGTTCAAATATAAAAAAAAATGGTCTCTTGTTATATCTAAAACGAATAATCAGTTTCATATAAAGCTATTATTATTATTATTTACCAAATAAATAGACACAATGAATATCGACCTAAATCTTGCTGCTAAATTTCCTCTTTAATAACACACAATTTGCTTTCAAGCGCGATATTTTTCTCCCTTTTTGCTTTTTTGATCAAAATTTGCTCTTTTTATCAAAATACTTGATCAATAAAAAGAAAAAAGAAAGAATTATAACGAGATAAGAAAGTAAAATTTTGTGTGTGTTTTATGTTATACACAATCTTTTATTTTATTACCCACCTTTGTAGAACTGATTAACACGATAATTACCATGATGATCACTCATGACCGATACTATGACATTACCGTGTCTAATCAAGTTATATATGTCGAGTTGTATAATAAAGCTTAATTAATTACATATGAAAAATCGAATGGATCATATAGAGTCAACGAAATAAAGTAAACTATGTGTGTGTGTGTGTCGAATTATATCTATTAGCCGCATTTTTGGTCATTGAGTCATTAATTAGGCTTTTGTGCAAACAAACGAAGATCAACATGGTAATCAGTGTGTATTAATATTTGTTTATCACACATATATGAAACACACATATAAAGCTATTTTATAATTAATAATTTCGAATATCCATTTTCTCAAAATACATATAACATAAAGCCCGAAACCGTCCTAAAGTATCTCGCAACTAACTAAAGTTTTCTATAACAATTGTTACACTGGCGATATATTTATAAAAAAAATCTGCAGTCGACTATGACGTTCCAAAATATTTTCATTAAACTTTTATACAAACTCTTCGCGTTATTACTCTCAAAATATTATTATTGAACATCTTCTTACCGCTTGGTTTTTCCGATATATTACGAGCTTCTTGTAAGATAAACACTTGTGGGCTAAACACGAACCACGCCGCACGTTCATAGCACGTTATTTTTCTCGTCGTTTAACGAAAAAGAATGATCACGTGTGTAACACATTGTCCCAACGTAAGCGGTTACATTTCCGCATAGAGAAATGACAGTATACCGATATATATAATGTAATATTACATTCGGAGATTGTGCATTGATTCTCCAATTTAAGTCAGATGGAATGTGTAGAGTTAAAATTAATTAATGCAGAATCAAAATTTGATTAGGGTAATCGCCCCAATAGTGTACGTATATATATATATATATATACATATATATATATATACGTATATGATTAATATTCAATTTTTTAAATATATTATATATTTTTAAAGGAAAATAATTATATTCATCGTAGATAATCGTGTTACGTTACCAGTAGAAATGTTTACTTTGTCATCAATCAACGTTTTCGATCCATCAATAGTATCATCAACGTTCAATCAATCAATCAGTAAAATTCATAAGCTACAGCAAAATTCGTAATTCAAAAACAACAATATGTAGACGACGCCTTCAAACCATAATAATCATGTTCGCTCACGATTGTGCTTAATTCAATCGATCTTCTGCCTACCTGTCTATCAATTATTCCCACATACGCTATTTCTTTACTCGTCTATTCGAGCAATCTTTCCTCGCGCCTCTTATAGCATGTATTCTCTTTTCTCTTACCTTTGTTGCATTTTCCGCCTCTCCACACAGTATGAATTCTCTACCTAGTTTTTAAACGACGACGAAGCCCTCCTCCCTCGGTTTCCATTTCACTCTGTTGATTCTCTTCCTTTCATCGTCAGCGATTCTTCCTCCGTCTTTTTTTGCGAGCCGGATAAACGCGAGCGGTTCAAAAGGACCGGGGGCGTAAAGCGCCAGCAGCGTACCCCTGAAAAGTTCGAGTCGCTTTTCAGTAGGTGACAACAAGAGCGGGAGCGCCGGCGAATTTTGAGCATCGCTTCCAATTTGAAAGCGAGCCACGAAAGTTGCCGTTAATTTAAAGTTTTCGCACCAGTGGCTTCGCCGGATCTGTCGGCTAACGGAAATTAATTTCTTTTCGCACGCTTGATCGGAAAGAACGTGACGTCCGAGAACATCGCTTCGTTTTCGATTACGTTATCAGATCTCAATTTCAAGTGCGAGATATATTCAAGAAGTAAATCATCATTTGAACGAAAATGTATCTGGAGAGGAGAAATAATCGTTAAAACGACTTTCTTATTCGTAATCTATCGCAAATCACACTTTCCGCATCGTTCTCTGCAGCGAATTTAAAACTCGAGCGCCACATTTCCAATCGCGTTACCAGATCGCGAGGTACGAGATATATTTTAAGAAAATTATTATTCTCGAACGAAGATGCGTTTGATAATCCTGATAAAAGGTAGTCTTGAAAAATTCGTGGCCTCAAAATTTAACAAAGCCTAAAAGTCCACGGAAGAAAAAGCACGGGAATGTCGTATGTTATTTTGTTTGTGTGTATAGACATTAATATACGTGCTCCTGTTTATTTATAGAGCTCAGACTTTATAAAATACAAAAGAAAAGAGAAGCTGTAAAATCTACAGCGCAAAGGATTAATTGCATGACGCAGCTGACAAAGCTTGCCCCCCAAAGCGCAAGTCGGCCGTCTAACGATCAACTTCCCCAAACGACACGTCGATTACCTCATTGAGGAAATTAGCATATTAATTACCACGTGGGCGCAGTCGCACGTGCGTGGCGGTGCGCGACTTTTCGTCGTGCATTGAAACGAGCCGGCGCGACGCGCGACCTTTTGCCCGCTCCGCCAGCGATAACAAACAGGAGCTTTAATAAATTAGCTGATGGATACACCGGCGGAATTGCCGGACTAATTCCGGATCAGGAAGTAGAACGAGTGACGGGCTAAAACTCGATCCCAAGCGTGGGAGTTAGCGTGCGTGGGGCGTTAGTGTGCCACTGTCATTGCGAGGCCGCCTTGTTTTGTTGCATTAGCTGCGAGTTTACTCGACGTGTCGTTTTATGGAACCGTCACGTCTTAGGGCCATGGCATACCCAAAAATGTAAGCGGTAGAGTGAGAAAGTTAATCAATCGCAGTCGGTTATTTTTGAGTCGTAAGGAAAATAATCAGCTAGCAGTTTGGTTAGTTTAAGAAAGAATTTAAAAATCTGCTCTTGTCGCTTGATTCCAGGCAACTAACAAATAAAGCATCAGGAAATCAAGCAGTATTTGCGAGAGAAAAGAGAGAGAGAGAACGTGAAAGAAAGAGTGCGATCTTCAAAACACTCTTGAGAAGCTTTTCTACACGCACTGCCATCCCCAAATGGGCCGTCCCTAACAGCCAAGTGGCTAACGATCAAGGACCGCCATTGAGACTGATCGTGATCAAGATCAAGGTGGTGAATTTAAGATTTCCCCGATTTTTTGTCATTTTTTCCAAAAGCTCATCGCTTTTCGCGAAATGTACGACGGGGCTTCTTTTTTTCTTCGACAAATTGAATGTCCTGCTCGACCGCGAGCTGGTGTCCACCCGTTCGATTACCTCATCCGTCCTGCTACCGAAGGCTCACACTGACGACGCAAATGGTAAGTGCGGTCGTTCGAGCCGCATCGAACACGTATGACTGATTGCGAGCGCTTTGTGCAGCAGCGGAAACTATCGTGGAAATCGCGTCGCGTTATGTCTCTGAGAACGACGTCGCCGTTCCAGGCATTCGGCCGTACAAAAGGGATGAAAAGACCGGAGAAAAGAGAAAGGGAGACAGAGAGAGAAGCAGAGAGAAAGAGACAGAGGGGGAGAGAGAGAGAGAGAGAGAGGGGGCTTTCTGCAGCCGAAGCCGCACTCTCATACAACATCCCGATAAGATGACGTGCGGCACGCGTGTGTGCCGGTTCGCCATTAACTTTGCAAATGGAGTTCTCGTGACGCCATTAGCCTTTAACCTTTGAACCGAAAGCTGGAAACGGCGGGAAAAGTGTCAAGCTGGAGTCTGCGACTCGTGGACGTTCTCAGTTTCTCTCTCTCTCTCTCTCTTTCTCTCTCTCTCTCTCTCTCTCTCTCTCTCTCTCTCTCGTATAGAAAATGTTCGGAGGCTTAGCGCGAGGAAGGGATGAGCAGGTTGACGGAAATTTTCTAATTTGAGTATAGCAATCTTCTCTTTTCTCTTGTTTTTTGCCGAACTATCGGGATTTGGAACTAGGCTGACTGCGGTGTATGTTTGAATTTAAACCTCCTCGGTGAAAGTCTAGTTTCTGACAATGAATCGTAGACACGAAATCGTGCTTCGACTTTGGCTTCGAGAATATGCACGAGAGATATCGTCGAGATTGAAAAATGATCCGTGAAAAATATTTACGTACATTATCGTCGTTTTTAATATTTTTGCCCCAAACGAATCTTCCTTCTGTGAGACGTATATTCGTTTTTTTCCTTTTCTTTGCTTGTTCGCCCCTTTTTCTTTTCCTCTTCTAAAGAATGCCGTCGATCTGTTGTTGTGCATACCTTTGAAGAAAAGCACACAATTGTAATAAAAATATTGAACTCATTCTTGCTTCTAATCTAATAGCTAACCATTTATATCGTACGAGGTGTGAGTATTGCATATGAAAATCCGAAATGGGCATTCGGAGCGTTGAAAAACAATGGCTGCGTTCAGAAGAACAAAATGATCAGTGAGAGCGCTTAGTGCTTCTCGCTCCTGATTGGTAAGTACTTCTGGGTCTATGAAGAACCTAAAAGAATGCTCCAGTCACAGATAATAATCACTAAGCGCTCACTGATCACTTTGTTTTGCTGAATAACGCAGCCAATAACGATCACAGTGAGGTCAATGGTGGGAAAAACGATATGTTTACGTTTGGAAGATAGAGACGCGGATCATAAAAACGATAGAGGTAGGCAGTTAGTCGCTGTTGGACGCCCGAAAAAGTCGTGCCATCGCCACTCGTGCAGAAGGTTGGTGAGTGTTAATCAAATCATTATTTTCTAATGTTCATCGGGTGACCGGGGTCGAGCATCGTTCCCTTACATAATTAGTTGATTTCTCTTAATCCCGGTGTCGTCGTGCGTTTCCCCTTCGACATCCGTCCGATTCAGATGTTTTCTTGGTCACCAGACCGGGCTCGCCGAGCGTTTTCCCGGGGGGCCCGATATAACCCAAGTGATCTGAGCCAGCGGTTCGAGTGTGCACATACCCATTCGGACCGCCATTTTTAATCAATTATCGCGTGAGTTAATTATGCGAAAGTCTGACTCGAAGGTGTTCTGGCGCTCGGTGCGTCTCCGTATCCCGCTCGACCTCTACCGACGAGCGTCTGAATTATATTATCGTTACGCTTGCTATTGTTCTTTTGTGTTTACTACCTCGAACTGCTCGTCTATTCATTCGGTTCTTAGTGTGTACGCGTAAGGCAAATAAACAAAAAGAAGAAGACGGTCATGTCTATAGGGACTCGCTCCCATGTTGCTTATACATCCTATATGTTACTCTTCCTAGTAATTAACTCACGATTGAAGAGAAGGCGGAAAGCATTTTTCCCTAATACGTTTTAAGATGCGTACGGCTCTGGAATGCTCTCTCGAAATTTTCTAACGAGCGGCAATTTTTCTGCCGGACTATCGGACTTTAAAACTCGGCTAGACGCAAACTGTGTTCGAGAATTTAAATCTTCTCATGGAAACCTTAATTACGACGATGAATCGTCGGCATGTGAAATTTCGCCTCGACCTCGAGTCCAAGAATATACGTGAGAATATACGTGTATCGTCAAGCTCAAACAGTTACGAAAAATGTTTATAAAAATTACCGTCGCTCTTGTGCTGAGAACGAGAATCTCCCCTTCGGTAATTAACGTCACACGATTGAAAAGGGAACGAGAAAAGAAATTGTTTCTAATATACGTTTTAGGGTGCGCGAAAATCCGGAGTGCTCTCAAGGACACAGATCACTTCGAAGAAATCGCGCCGCTTCCGGCCCTCGTTGTTGCGCCAGACGAAATAGCGCGAGATAACATTGTCATAGTATTCCCGCGGGATTATAAACTTATAATACTCGAGTTTCACGCGGCATTATCCATAAAGGACGAGATTTCAATATTTCGGGTATTACAGTTAAGCTCCAGCGAAATGTCGTTACCGTTGCAGATGCGTTCGGGTACACAGGGACAGGACCGCGTTATATTGTATATTTGCATCGGTATACGCGCAGGGAGTTAATGCCGCGTATAAAGGACCGGCTGGAACGCTGCATCGAACCTGCTTCCCGCAGGGTCGTCCAGTGTTTAACGTCTGACGAATACGCGTCCGAATTTATTTATCCATCCTCACGAGCGCGGAGATATGCGACGCCCACGAAATGCTCGTTCACGGCTCGAGGAGCGCATGAATTTTCAGCCGCCGAGGAGCTGATGAATTTTCGCGCGAAATCACGACGTCCCGAGAACTCGGAGGACGTGTCCGGGCCTCTCTCCTCCTGTCTCTCATGGTCGAGTCTCTTTTCCGCGAGACTCTTCGAAACCGCCCCGGGTCCTTTGTCACCCGTTACAGTCTGCAGTCTAATCCTTTTATCCTCTTCTTATTTCCTAGCACTTTTCACCTCTCTCTCTCTTTCTCTCTCTCTCTCTCTCTCTCTCTCTCTCTCTCTCTCTCTCTCTCTCTCTCTCTCTCTCTTCTCAACCCGCTCATTGTCTCGGGTCCTCTCTCATCGCGCGTTTCTTCCCGTTCGCGCTGGTCTCTCCCTCGCGCCTCGAGACCTTCTTCCGCCTCTCCTCGTTCTCGAACTCGACGCGTGCTGTACTTCCTCGGAACGGACGTGCACGGCACGGCGTCCTCTTGCTCTTGCGAGAAAAAGCTGGCTGTGGCCGACGCGACATGAACTCGTAATTTTTCTCGCGGCGATGACGCGGAGAACAGGG